ACATCGGCGAGGGTCGTCCACATCCTTCACCCCTCTCTCAGTATGACTACTAACACGTGCGCTGTTTCGTGGCATATTTCCTAACTCACACCACTCCACTAACGGATTCACTGTCGAATTCGAAAACTATTCCTACCGGATTCTTACCACCAATCGGATTCGGATTAGAATATACTAAACTTTACAGATTATATAGGCTACACAGGTGTGACGTTTAGGCAATTCGTTTAACTATTATACGTGATGTACGTTTTTTTTTGGGGGGGAGGGGGTTAATGAAAGTGTTCCAAAACGCGACATTAATTTCTTGACGACCTACTATTACATCATACAATTTTACCTGATGTGAGCACGCTAACCGATTATACAATATCATGACATTTCACGGCAATATATTACATCATTCACCTAACCTTTGTTTTGTAACTGGTCTTTCACGTTGGAAACCAAATACGTGATCGAATCCAGCATGCCTGTCAACGAGGATACTCCACACTGTTCCAGGTTCTGACTGCTCGTTATTCCATAATTTTGGCCAATCAGAGCCACCATAAATAGATGTTTCAAAGTTCTGAACATTTTCAGCACTTCCTTGGCAGAACCTACATACATAACAGAATCCAAATAACTAAACGTTTTTTGATTTCTGCGTTTTGTGATGATGATTGGGTTACAATGGTTAACAATGTATCCTAATTCTATTAATTCTATATTTTCATTGAAAACAAGTAAACTGTATCAGTTGATCCAATCTTTCCAGCTTACTAAATGTGATTCAGTGACAAAAAAATTTCTTACTACTTTTTATATATATCATATATTTGACCTCTAATAATGCCATTTCAAGGTTACGATACGGGTTGAAAATTACGATGAAATAATAATTAAGTAATCAATCTTTCATGTATATACCATATATCTATTCAAACGTTGAGTCTATTATTAATGTTTCCACTAAGTAGACAATTTAAGTAATATTATACTTTTTAAATACCAAACATGCAAGATATCTACAAAATTTTGACACAAATAACTCATGCAAAATATGCTTGAAATTAAGCGTCAATATTTTAAAAAGCATTTTCTTTAAATACTCTGCACCAAACACGTTGTTCTGTAAAAATCACTTAATAATCATTTTGACAGTAATTATAAATAATACATAACAAGATGAAATCATAGGCATTGTCTAATAAAATTGATATTTACCTCACACATAAAAGTCTCCCCCGTTAAATAATACTCAGATTATTTTTAAACAACTGAAATATGAAGAACGTTTATATATAGTGAAACAAGATTCACGTTTTCTTTCCTTATATGGACATGTTTACACCATTCGTTGAATGCCTCTAGGCTGAGACTTTTTTTTGAAGTGAACTTTCAAAGGTCAACTAATATAGGCTTTTTAACCTTGATAAAGTACACGTTATCAACAGGAGTTCACTTTAATGTAGCAAATCTGGTTAAGTCACTTTCTAGGAATTTTTTTTTCTGAGAATATCAGTTCATCAACTAAGTAATTTATTATTATATGTAAGATCTGATAATTAATCAGATATGACATAATAAACAGTGTTAGAAAACAAAGATGGTTGTGGGTTTTTTGGTAAAACCATTTTTTATCTATTTTTAAAGTTTAAATTTTAAAGTTTACTGAACACTCTAGAGTTTTGCCATTAATATAATCTTAGATGTAATATTGTTTGCATTTGTTTGAAATACAGGCGAACAACAGCTCTTCCCATAATCTTCTTCTTATTATGTATTGGTTTAAACCATAAAGGCAGTTTTATATTATACTTAGAAGAAATAAATTAAAGAGTACACGCGAAGATATATATGTACATGTTCCATGATTAGTTTTGTCGTGTATAGTCTCATATAAAGATATAAAGTAAAATAAAGAAGCTGGAGTTCCCCAGTGGCACAGCGGTATATATCTGCTGACTTAAAACGCTAAAAACCGGGTTTCACCACCCGTTGTGGGTAGAACACAAATAACCCATTGTGTAGTTTTGTGCTTAATTACAAACAAAAACTTGCAATTCCTTTTTAACGTAGAAATTGTTTTTAGCTTTATACATCAGTAATATTTTTAATCATATTGCCTAATGTGTTTTGATAAATCGTGTTATTAACCAATATAAGAAATACATGATGAATGTTAAACACATTTTCATTATACTGTAGAAGACTGGAAATTTTAAGGGTAAATATGTTCATTTATAAAAATAAACAAATACTTCTGGGAATATGTAGCAACTTTTTCCACTGTCCAGCAGCTCACTAATATATTTACCCTGAGAAGATAAACATTGATATTCTTTATACATAAAATACTCTAGACACATCAATCAACTCATGCGATTCCATTTAGAATAACATCTAGCAAAGAATCAACGCGAAACATTAGAAAGTGATTATGAGATTCAAGAAAAATGAATATTTTCATAATTTTTTATAATTTTACAATTTATGTTAGTTTGATGATCAAGTATATATACATTTTGTGACTATGTGTGTGTATACATCATTTATAATACTGTGAAGACTTCGCATCAGTTCTGATATACACATAATAGAAGCATCACCTAATATCGGGTTATATAGTCTTTAGGCGCAAGGTCAGCTCAAACTTGATGTAGCCTAGACATCACAACGTCCAAAAAGATGTCTTGCTCAATCTTAGCCCGATTGTTAATGAGTTTTCTTTAATTAGCTCATATACTACAGCTTTCAAGTTCCTCCAAAGAAGCTCAATCAGAGTGAAATCTGTTGATTGGGTTGGCCGAGGAGCCCCGAAGTGTCACAGCGGTATGTCTGCGGACTTACAACGCCAGAAACCGGGTTTCGATACCCGTGGTTGACAGAGCACAGATAGCCCATTGTGTAGCTTTGTGCTTAATTCCAACCAAGCAAACAAACAAACAAACCCTTTGTAGGACAGTATGAGCATGGCGAATTATTGCATTATCGTTTCATAAAAGTCTTTATCTGTCAAAGTGAAATAACGGTATGATTAAGACCGGTAAATATGCTCAGGTACACTAAAATGACACCGCACCTGCCACAAAAACTCCAGTCATATCATTGCTCTACAACCAGCAGCTTGCACTGTTGGAACAATACCAGCAAGGTCACGTGCCTAAAATACCTTTTCTCTGGATTTCTACCACATCGGCAGAAGAATATGGTGAAACGACAACACCTCCGACCACATCAGACTGTGAGACAGAGAATTCTGTTTTTAAATGGTTATGGTTTTCGTTCATTCATTTAATATTTTTTCTTTCGGTTAGTTTATCTATTTACATTTGAAACGCTTATTCACCTTCTGATGATCACGTTTATTTTGAGTAAATTTGTGTGTATTATGAGACTGACATCAGTTTCCCCTAGCGGTGATGTACAGATATCATTAATGTTGCACAAAAGTATTTAAATTATGTACAAATATTTTGCACCGAATTATGTAAATTACAATGACATGGTTTGTAATTTCGTGATTTAACAAGTGAATAAATACCGTACATTGAGCTTTAACAAGTTAGTCTAGTTCAATTAGATCAGATCGGTGATATTGGGGGCATATCATCTACTGATGGCGCCCCCATAAATCGCAAAAAAAAAACCAACATAACAAGTTAATTCACGAGATGTAGTTGAGTAGTATTACTGTTGATTATTATTCGATGTTGTTATTGAATTTGTTGTTTATAATACGGAATATTGTTATTTTAAAATTAGGTTTTTTTGTAATTGTCTGATTCCTTTATTTATTGAAATATCTGTTAACCTAGATTTATATATTGTATTGTTCATTAATGTTAGTTTCAAGTTCTGATCAGGCTCGTATTTCTTTCCTGAGTTTGATAGGTTATCAACTTTGTTTCAATAGTTTGAAAGCCACACTTTGGACTTCTATGGTTGTCAAAGTATAATAATTTTTTATTTTATTGGTTCAACCCTGGTTGTAGCGACAAGTTACTTTAGACCGTTATGACACGCTTTATAGTCATCGATAGCCCACTTTGATAGATTCTGAGGACAGTTGGTATTAAAAGTTATTTGTTTGTTTAAGAGCAAAGCCACATTAGACTATCTGCTATGTTCACCGCCGGGAATCGAACCCCGGATTTAAACATAGTAAATCCGCAAAGTTACCGCTGTCCCAGTTGGGGACTTATTTCTAAAGAGACTATTAACATCTCTTTTTTTTCGCTATTTAAAGAGATTAAGCAATCACCTGAAATACCATCAATTCAAAAAATAAGTAAGTAAATGTTCTACAAATATGAGGGAACTCCTAATAAAACAACCGGTATTTTAGTTTTTAAGAAGCTGAAAAGAAATACCAAATTAACAAGAAATTCAATGGTGCATTAAATTAAATTCAACTACTATTCTTTCACCGATTTTTTAATATGAAATACGAAACATTAATGCAGTTTTATTTTTTCAAAATTAACATTATTAACAAGTCGTATAATCAATAGTAATGTAACACAAACTTTGAATTAAACAGAATTTCTAAATTATTTCTCAGAAAGGAACTTTAAAAACTGCCTCTACGTTTGCTATTATAATTTAGTTATTTGGAGTCCACATTTGTGTTTAATTGGCATTCATATATATAATAAATTCAAATTTATATATTTCTGCCAAAACTTGAAGAAAATGTACAAAATATTAAACAAAACGCAACGTCGTTACTAGCAGTATGATTCAAAACTTATTATATATTACTGGCTAAGTACAAACTGACCCTTAATTTCACTTCCACCCTCATTTTAGAACAATTGGCTGATATCCAGAACTTTTTAACACGTTTTAAATATTATCAGTTGTTAAAAATTTATTGGCAGAAGAAGAAGGTACAGAACTAACTTGTGTCAGTTGACATATATAAACAAGCCTCAACTTAATGTAAATACCCCCCAAGTGGCTCAGCGGCAAGTCTTCAGATTTAAAACATTAAAAACTGTGTTTCTATACCCGTGGTGGGCGCAGCACAGATAGCCCGTTATATAGCTTTGTGATAAACAATAAACAAACAAATCCACCTCGCATCAGTAAAGCCCCACTACTTACAGTCCAACCTCCTACGTCAGTATCTATATTAAAAAAAAAACATTTAAATCTCTTGAGGTCATCCATTAACATTGATAAACTCATAAAAAAGCAGGACATATTACATCTATTTATAATTTAATGTACGCAAACTAAAGTTGTTTTTTGTAATTTTTCTTTCAACTAAGACAACAAATGCATAATAAAATCCTGATTCATTTTACACACTTCTTTGAGAGAAAGTTAAAAGTTTTATCTTTTTACACATTTCCAGCAGTTATTTAGTAAAACTTAAGTATAAAATAAAATTTAAATTGGTCAATGTGTTTAAATTTTACATCTGAGATAGATTTTATTATTAATAACACACTGTCATTTCAATCACTGTTGTCCTTTGTAGAAGCCCCCCAGCGGTATGACTGCGGACTTACAACGCTAGAAACCGGATTTCGATACCCGTGGTGGGCAGAGCACAGATAGCCCATTGTGTAGCTTTGTGCCTAATTACAAACAAACAAATCTTTTGTAG